CTCTTTGGAAATAAATGCAAAATACTGAAAGACACTTAAACCTGTTTCTGCATAGAAAAAAATTAGCTCAGTTATAAAAAAATCTATATATGTAGAGAAAGTCTCGTTCTGTAATACATCATGTAGCTGGTCTCTCATACTCTCTATATCACTTTTTAGGGTGTGGGTGTGGGTGTGGGTATGTGTGGGTGTGGGTGTGGATGTGGGTGTGGGTGTGGATGTGGATGTGGGTGTGGATGTGGGTGTGGGTGTGGATGTGGGTGTGGGTGTGGATGTGGGTGTGGGTGTGGATGTGGGTGTGGGTGTGGATGTGGGTGTGGGTGTGATCTTTAATAAAGTCCACATCCACACACCCATCCAAACCCGCACCCGCCCACACCCACACCCACACCCCACACCCACCCACACCCCACACCCACCCACACCCACACCCACACCCACGCCCACACCCACAGGAAGAAGGGTGCATCAAAAGTCAATAACTGACTAATAACACACGAACAGTGTTAAATATATGAGCACACACGGAAGAGAAGAAGAAAACAAAAAGATATGTTTTTTTTTACATAATTGTATACGAGTGAGTCTTTTATATTTATAAAGTTCCATTGAAATATTTTCCTGTTAAGTGTTTAAATTGCAAATCTGAAAATTTGTCCCATTCGATGCCTTCCAAAGTAGTTAGTTATTTGGAATAATTCTGCACGTTTTCTGTATATTTTTGTAGTGCTTCTAAATAGTTTCGCACAGTTTCTGCGCGACTTTCTATAACCCATTGCAAAGATCGAACAATTTCTGGATGATCTGTCGAAAAGACTCGTCGTTCGGAATTTAACACATGTAACCAATATGTATGATTTTTATTTATTTTCTGCTCGTCGAAACTGCAATCACTAAGTGCTCTAATACATCGAGTTGTGGTCAACTGATCAAATGTATTTTTTATAGAAGTTATTTTAACTGTGGGCGATAAGGAGTAAATAGTCGTTAGTTCGTAGTACGTGCCATACACTGTAGACGAGTGAGAAAAATCCTGTAGCATTCTTAATGCAGACGAAAAGTGAGAATAATTTGTATTGATTTTATGTTCTGTTGTATTTAGTTTTGGCTGATAGTAACGAAGAATCTTTTTCCATTGACCTTTCTTCTTATACATGGTAATTAACCAGTCTAAATGAAGACCAAGGTTGGGATGATCGGGTGATAAACATTCTTCTTCCATTTGAAATTCTTCAAAAAAATACTCAAGAGCAAGATCAAGATCACGTTTTATTTCATAAACAAGAGCAATGTTTCCAATACATCTAGCAATATGAGGATGTGGAGCAGGTAAAAGTCTTGCATACATATGATATGCTGGAATTAACCAATCGAGAGCGATATTCAGATCACGTTTCTTTCGGAAAAGATTTCCTAAAGCTTCATGTATACCAGCTTTTGATAATGAATCAATGCAACTATTTTCTTTATCAATCGTCGATGCTCGAGAATAATATTCAAAAGCTTTATCAAACTCTTCTTTTTCACAATAAACATTACCAATATTATGTAAAGAAGCAATAATATGATTATAATTTAGTGGAACTTGTTTTTGTCGAATCGCATAAGCCCGTTGATAGTTTTCTAATGCTAAATCCCATTGATATTTTTCATAATGTACTGCAGCAATGTAATTATAAATAAATGGAAGATCTGAATGATTCAAAGGTAATCTTTGAAGTAGTTTTTCAAAGTATATTTTAGCATGATCTATATATTCAATATTACGCCAAAAAAATGCTCCGAAAATTAAAGTTGGACTCTGATCTTTGATTGTTTCTTGTAATAATAATTTGTATTCTTGAACATAATCAGAACCTTCATCTGTTGCTGTTAATTTAACTTCCCATATATTAAGATCGACATTTTTTTCAAGAGAATCCATTTTAAATGAAGCACCATGACTAAAAAGTACTTCTTTTTCATCGGGTATTTCACTTTTATGATGAACATCAGCAAAATCGAAACTTTTTATTGATGAATCAATATGAATAATAAATAAAACAGAATATCGATCATCAGTATCTGATAAATCTTGTCCAGCAAAAACTAAAGAAACATTTAAATCACGTGAACTGGAAAGAAATCCATTAATTGATATAAGTGTTCCTATACTTCTTTTAACTCTCATAAATTCTTCTTTAGACATACGTTGACCTCGATATAATTTTGTTATTTTCTGTTTTTTTCGTTTTAAATTTTGAATTTCCAATTGATAACAAAGATCTATGATAAAAAATCGAAATGAATAAAATAATTGAATATTTTCTGTTCTAAGAGCTTTGTTTAATAATCTGTAAAGAAAACAATCTCTCGTATACCATTTAATAGCTTCTTCACATTTATATGTTAATTGAAATTCTTCAATTTTCTTTAATTCTCGTTTATTATCTCTATAATAATCAATACATTTTTCGAGCATTTCTTTTTTTGATTGTTCATCTGCAGGCATTTGTCTAAGAACATAGATAAGTAAATGATACCATAGAAATGCCGCAGTTCCTCTTGGTGGATTATGTACTAATTTTGATGTTTCATCAAATAAAGTAATCGTATGAATTTGTTTATCAATCTGAGATATTGTTTTTTCAATTGATTTTAATAAAGTATTTTGATCAATAAATATATTAACAATTTTTTCATAATTATTCATTAGAGAATTATCCAATTTTTGATTTTGACTATATATGAATATGGCAATTACTGAATTAAGAGAATGAGTTAAAGGTAGAATTTCATGTGCTAAAGCATTGGTAGTGATTAGAAGAATATATTTATTGATAAGTGTCTTCATCAGATTGACAGATGAGCAAACTTCACTGTAAAGTCGAACATCAGGATGTAATTCAAGTAGCATTTCCTGTACATGATGAGCATAATCATTATTACGAATTGAAGTATCGACACAAACGATACAAACAGCTTCTTGATTTTCACTTATCTTGATTTTATGCAAATCACGACGGACACGACCGATTCGTAACATTTTCATAAAATATTATTTTTCTCTAATAAAGATTATTATTCGCCGTTGATAGAAAGATATCGGGATAAACATCGTTTTGACGATAAATGACGACCTTTTTTTTTATTCTATTTTAAGAAGGAAATACTACCATCGTAATAAATAAGAAAGAGCTGTGTGTGTATCAAAATAGTGATAATAGTACTAAAAATAAGTGAATTGCGTTGTTTTACATTCATGTGATTAGTTTTTTTAATACTGAATGATACAAATATGTAAAAATACCCTTTACATCGAAATTACGTCGCAGCATATGTGACCTTTTAACAGATTTGACAAAATCTGAGATGTATTAAATGTCTGATTGATTCCGACTATGTAAACTCATAAATTGACTCTGAGATGGACAATTATCCGTTGTTGTTCTTATTTATGCTCGTTCACTAACATTGATACTCTACATATGCAATGAATATACTCAGAAGAAATACTCATTAATTTCATTAGTTATTTTTATTTTTCTGTGACGTATATTCGTTTAGAGATTGCAATAAGTAAAAAAAAATGCGACCTCACTATTCGTTTTATTTAAATGCATTTATCTACAATAAATGTCAGTGAAACGAAGAGACAAAAAGAAAAAAAACAGCTATTGACATATTAAATGTGTTACACAGATCAAGCGTCAATATTTGCTCTTTTTATTC